TAGCTAAAGACTCTGGTGGTCTCACATTTGTCTCCTCCAAAGTTTCAAACAAGATCTCAATAGCATCAAACACTGTGCTCAGATTTTTCTCCTTATAGCTAGAGATTCTGGATCTCTCACATTTGTCTCTTTTAAAAAAAAGGTATTGCTCTTATACTAAACATCTTGCACTTCTAAGTCCTTTCTAGTGTGTTGTATACAATGTTGTAGAAAATGTGGTGTATACAATGCTGGACATTGAAGATAAATTTAAACATTTAAACAAGTAACCCTTGATATTCTGAAATGTTTAATGCTATTTAAATGACAGTTTTGGTATTTACAATATTAGTAAAAGTTTAACGTTTCTCCTAAAATAAAACTGAAGACATCTTAAGACAAAGCTGATATCTCAATGAGACATATAAGAGAATCACCCCTTAGTATCCTGAGCATAAATTAAGCTCTGTCAGAGCCATAGCCTTGTGGGCAGCACATCAGTGTGAAAGCACAACTGCACCTCAGACAACAGTCAGTGTCCTGACATAACCGGTTAAATGGATCAGATGCCATTTTGAGAGTCTCAGTAAGTGCCCCCTGCAGCAGTTGTCCACTGCACAGAGAGCGTGTATGTGACCCACTAATCGCTTATTAACTGCTAGCACCGCTCTAATTGGTTGCCGATAAGTAGCTGTGTGTGCTAAAGCTAAAGGCTAATTTTAGCCTATTATCTGTTGGCATAGGTTCATTGGGTTTAGAAAGCTAACTCTAATTCTACCACTCTGTCGGTTTGGACATTCGCGCACACACACATAGCCAGATGTTCTGTGATGTAGATACTGAGACTTAGTCTTTTCTCATCCCTTCTGCTCAAGCTCTATTTTTAAAAGCAGCGTCTCGTTAAAGCCTTTTAAGCTAATCAGGCTGAGTTCGACCCAGCTTCACGCTCACCCGGCGCACCTGCGTTTGTCCCACATATTTGCCAGTGGAAAGCCGGCATTTGGCCTGCGATTGAGTAGGTTAATCCCCAGTGCTAGCAAAACATCAGGCTAAAATTAAGCCAGCATTTAGCCTGAATCAATCCAAGATTGAGATCTACAAAAACGAGTATCATTAGGTTAGTGCGACATCAACGTCCGGCCAAGTTTAACTCAGCATTCAGCCAATGTTAGCCTTGCAATTAGCAATATTTGCCCCGTCAATCAGGCAGCATACGCCCAACATTCAGCCAAGTTTTGCCCTGTGTTTAATCTCTTTGAGTCGAGAGCTTGGCCGCTGCCAAGCCAGCATTTGCCTAGCATTCACTAAACATTAGCGCTCCATTCAAGGGTTGCCGATAAGTAGCTGTGTGTGCTAAAGCTAAAGGCTAATTTTAGCCTATTATCTGTTGGCATAGGTTCATTGGGTTTAGAAAGCTAACTCTAATTCTACCACTCTGTCGGTTTGGACATTCGCGCACACACACATAGCCAGATGTTCTGTGATGTAGATACTGAGACTTAGTCTTTTCTCATCCCTTCTGCTCAAGCTCTATTTTTAAAAGCAGCGTCTCGTTAAAGCCTTTTAAGCTAATCAGGCTGAGTTCGACCCAGCTTCACGCTCACCCGGCGCACCTGCGTTTGTCCCACATATTTGCCAGTGGAAAGCCGGCATTTGGCCTGCGATTGAGTAGGTTAATCCCCAGTGCTAGCAAAACATCAGGCTAAAATTAAGCCAGCATTTAGCCTGAATCAATCCAAGATTGAGATCTACAAAAACGAGTATCATTAGGTTAGTGCGACATCAACGTCCGGCCAAGTTTAACTCAGCATTCAGCCAATGTTAGCCTTGCAATTAGCAATATTTGCCCCGTCAATCAGGCAGCATACGCCCAACATTCAGCCAAGTTTTGCCCTGTGTTTAATCTCTGAGTCGAGAGCTTGGCCGCTGCCAAGCCAACATTTGCCTAGCATTCACTAAACATTAGCGCTCCATTCAAGCTGCCATTAGCCTAACATTCAGACAGCGCTTCGCCCAGAGTTCATCCAGCACCGGTCAGCATTAAAAAGGTCATCGATTATAACCTAAGTGGTATTTATTGGGTAAAGTGGAGCATGGGCCGCCCAGGGCGGAATTATCATACAGCTAGACTCACATTGGCATTACATCTGGCTTTTATACACACACTCACACAGACACATTTCCAATATAATGAGTTAAGTTGTCATCTTTAAGGGCTTTACATGTGTTTGATCAAACCCCAATCCCATAAACACTAAGCAACCAATAATAGAAAATAATAAAAAAGCATTTTTTCAGGAAATGTAAGTGGTACGTCCCTGTGCAAAACTCATTATGATGCTAGAATATTCTCTGTGGTTTCTAGGGTGTTCTGGATGGTTGTCTGGGTGTTTCAGTGCAGTTGCTATGGTGTTCTGGGTGGTTGCTAAGGTGTTGCTATACAGTTGCAAGAGTTATCTGAGTGATTTTCCCAGGGTGTTGCTATATGCAGATGATAGATTGTTTTGTCTGTTTGCTAGACTGTCCCTATGAAGTTGTTAGGCTGTTGCTATGCAGTTGCTAGGATGTTCTAGGTGGTTGCAAAGGTGTTGCTATGCAGTTGCTACAGTGTTTTGGGTAATTGCCAGGGTGTTGCTATGCAGTTGTTAGAGTGGTGTTGCTATGATGTTGCTAGGGTTTTCTGGGTGCTTCCAGTGTGATGCAATGTAGTTGCTGGGGTGTTCTTGGTGGTTGCCAGGGTGTTGCTATCCAGTTTTTGTGGTGTTCTGGTGGTTGTCAGGGTGTTGTTATGTAGGTGCTAGTGTGTTCTTGGTGGTTGCCAGTGTGTTGCTATGCATCAAAAAATGCAATCAAAACAATACTTGATAGGTACAGCAAAGTCTCATTATACATTTTTACATTTATTTATTTAGTAGAATATATTTTATCCCTCATTATACATTTTTTACATTTATTTATTTAGTAGAATATATTTTTTCCCATTAAAATTGTCACAGATAAAAACTAGTTGTAAATGGCAATTTACATTAACTTTAACAAACTGACATTTCATGACCCCTCTTTTACTCAGTCATTCTGGTGGTTGCCAGGGTGTTGCTATTCAGCTGCTAGGGTTTTCTGCGTCCTTTGAGAGGACCCACACCCAAGTCTCTATGATATTCTGATCCTATGATTTGACCAGGATTGGTCGCTCCTTAAGTGTACGTCTTTCTCACCAGGTGAGATCCGCATTTCAGATCACTGTATAGTGTGATAGCAAAAAAAAGTAAGCACAGGCCGCATAATTTGATGTATTATTCATGTATGTATCAAAAATGGTGCAGGATAGGTTTCATGTTGAAATTCAATACTTAGGTTTTTTTTTTTTTTAAATCCATATATATTCATATATAAGCACATGTGAGATATGAGCTTTAGCAAGCACCACTATTTACATATTTTCTATTATGATTTGTTATATTTCTTTAAAATCTTGGAGACATCAGTCAACGTTTTAATTATCATTCCTGTTCAGTTTCTTTCCTCTTTTTTTGCACTTCCTGGTCTTCAGTTTCCTTCTCTGGCGACTCTCACAGCATGAGGTGCAAGCAATGTTAACGATGCCATTTTCATTTTTTTCTGCAAGAAATACACAGCACTGCACTCAAAGATCATGATGATGGGGATGAAGCATCTAATTTTCACCTAAGTCTTGCTCTCATTTTCTCCGTCTCCTCCTCTGTCTGTCTCTAACTATAGCTCATTTCATGATGTCGTCTTGTTTTTTTTGTTTTTTTTGTCTTTTCAACTCTAATATCTTCTCATTAATCTCTGTCCTGTTGCCCAGATGATGACCCCTTCCAGCCAGTGACCCAAGATGAGACGGTGGCAGTGGGTGGGGTGGTGACCCTGACCTGCAATGTGAAGGAAAATGATAACTCCTCTCTCCAGTGGTCCAACACGGCTCAGCAGACCCTGTACTTTGGAGAAAAGAGAGGTGAGTTTCCCCTATTTTAAAAGGCAAAGGATGATTCTGTCATCATTTACTCATCCTCGTGTTTTTCCAAACCTGTATGACTTTCTTTCTTCTATTGACATAAAAAACAGATGTTTCGCGCAATGTCCTGGCTGTTCTTTTCCATATAATAAAAGTTAATTGGAACTGAAGATAGACTAGCTACAAAAATGAAAAAAGCACCAAAAAGTACTTATTTGTGGAATATCTTTCCATCTGCCATAAGTTTCAGATCTCATTCACATTACTTTATTTAGGCATTGTTTTAACAAACACTCATTCTGTCTGGCTACATGATGTTTAGTAACTAACCTTTCACAGTCCAGTCAATACCTGATGGATTAAACAAAGCCTTGTTGTACATATTTAATAATTTGAGTATTTTTTACATGTATTGATTTATTTATTTAGTAGAATATCTTTTTCCAACAAAAAGTGTCAAATTACAGATAAAACTGGTTGTAAACAGCAATTCACATTGATTTTAACAAACGGACATTTCATGACTTCTCTTTTACTCAATCGCTTTTAAGACTGTGGTCCATGATTGCAATTACTTGCTATTTTGGTCTGAACAGGAAATAGATTTTTGTTGGACCCTTCCTTAGAGAGTTCTTCAGAGCTTTCAGTCCCTCAGTACCACACACAAAAACAACGCGTGAGACACCTTCCTAAAACATTAATATCGCCCTAAAAACAAACAGGTGGCTCTGTGATAACAAAAAGCGAGGTGATGGAGAGAGAAAGACTAGAGAGAGAATAGAGAGGCGACCTGATTAAAATGGAAAACAAAAGAAAGCGACAAGAGAGCACCATGAAAAAGCAGAAATAAAAGCAGTCTATTGAACAAGAAGGAAGGAGGGAGTGTTAAAATAAAGAAAAGAGAAATACAGTCAGTCTCACATATAAACACCCATAAAACTATATATAAATTTACTTTTTGAAATTTTTTCATTTGGATGAATACAACTGTGCAAGATAAGAGTTTCCAATGAAGTGTTTTTCTTACCCTATTGCTTTAAGTATAAATCCCGCTAAAACAATTTAGGGTAAGATATAAACTCACAAATCTCATTATCTTACACAATTTTGCTTCCTACGTAAATTTATCTTGTTTGAAGTATGTTTAGATATTTGGAAAGCAAATCAAAAATACTGTTTAAGAAAATGATTTTTTTGCAGTGTAGAAAAGAGAGAGCACAGTAAAAGGAGAACAGCAGATGCACACATACGCACTAGTGAGAAGAGATGAACAGATTAGTGTGGAGGAACAATGGATGGGTGGATGAGCAAAGAGAGATAAAGGGAGGAATGACAAAGGAGGAGTGTGTGCATGAAAGAGCAGGATGGAGGACAGAGGAACAGCAGCTGATGAAGACAAATTAAGTGCCCTTCTCTTACTGATAAAGCATGAAGTGCACACACATACACACATTTACTATAAATCTGTGTTATCTTTTTGTTCAAAGGTGAAGTGAGTAAATTTCTGCACCATTAGCAAAAATAATAACTTTCCAAACAGGTTTTCCTGATCACTGCCAGTCTGTTTGTTCAGACAAGCCAGTGGTAGGGGGAGTGGCTCATTCTACAGAGCACGTGATTGGACAAAAATCTGTGTAGAGCAGGATGAGTCATCTATATTTTTGCTCCATTTTGAGAACAGTGTTGTTATTGTTAACTAAACTAAAGCTATTAATTATTTGAAATAAGGCTGAAACAAAGTAAAATATAAATGTTAGAGGAAAACCTTAAACTTAAAAAAGTATATATAAAAGTAGAAATATAGAAATATTTTTATATCTACGAAACTTAAATTTTTTTCAAATGAATATAACTTAACCTAAAATTAAATATCAATTACTCCACCGGCCTCGCTCCGTTCCCACGGCTCTCGGCCACGCCCCCACTCGTCACAAAAATGAAAACTGAAAATTAAAGCTAAATCAAAATATTATTAAATACTATTATAACATATAAAGGAACGAGAGAAAGGCTGTATTTAAATTTGTGAATCTGTTAAAAGTGACATTTAGGAGTATATTAGCATATAGATGACCTTAAAGCTTATAGACATGCTTTACTTTTTATATTTTAGCTTATTCTTTAATGGAAATGAGGATTTTTAGATAAAGTAGTTTTACATACTATAGAGACATGCTTTAACTTTTTTAATACGTCTAGTCCAAAAAGACTAAAGACGTCGTTCAAAAACCATCATGATTATGACTTCACAACGTGAGCACATTATCATAAGGCCACAGACATTTACATATCAATGTCTATTCAGTATTCACTCACTTGGCTTGCTCTGATCAACAACAGTTCTAGCCAATCAGAACAGAGGTCTTTTACATATAGAATTCCTTAATGTGCAGCTTGTTAATTTCCAAGGCTTGGTTGCACACAAATATAATCCGAGGACTGACTGTCTACTCTGCACTGTCATTTTGTCTGGTGAAATCTGTGTAGTCAGTATCGAGTGTATCTACATGGGTTGCTATAGTAATAATGTCAGAATCAGCACGCTGCCAAGAGACTTTCTCATACAACAACGGAGAGTAGCTGTCAATGGAAAGAGAGCACAGAAAACTGAAAACTTTGCCTTTACTCATGTCTGTCATCTCACTGTGGTGCTGAACTCACAAGATCTGTAAGAGAACAGAGGCATTTTATGCATTCATGCATACAGTATACTGGGTCCAAAACTGCTGACTCGTTCACTATTCATGACATAGTGAACATCACATGGTTTGCTAGATGAGGAAAGAGTAAGCGAAAATGAATGTGTTCAGACCAGACGATATTGCACACTCTGTACGATGTTACATACACGTTACTTTCCAAATAATGAACAAAAAACTCCTTTGAAATCTGATCTGACCTTTTAGACTACTAACTCATATGAACTTAGTGTGGATCGGGTTTGTACACATAAGACTGCATGTGGATTTCTTTTTTTTTTTTCAAACTGCAAAAATAAAAGATAAAAAAACAAGCCTGTTACAGCAAGAAAATGGAAGAGTTAGAGAGATGGTGGAAAGTAATCATATAAATCTAAATCACAATGGTTTTGGTGCCAGACACCTTGACTAACGTTATCAGTGAACTTCAGGGGGGAAAATAAAATGCTAAAAATTTTTGTATATGACATCTATGTGGTGTATGTGTTCCTCTTATCTACTCTTGTCTTTTTCAGCACTGAGAGATAACCGTATCCAGTTGGTAAAGTCCACGGGCACAGAGCTGATAATCACCATCTCGGACGTTCAGCTGTCAGATGATGGAGAGTACACCTGTTCAATTTTCACCATGCCTGTACGGACTGCACGAGCCACAGTTACTGTACTCGGTATGTATGTGTGAGTGTGCATTATAAGTCAGGGTGGTAGGTATCAGTAGAAATTGCTATTGATATAGGGTGAATTTGGATAAATCGGGAGAATTTTTGCTATTAAAATGACTGGGGGAAAATGGCACAGTCATCCTGAATTAACCCTATATTTAGCGTGTTCATCATTCCTCTTCGTGTATTTCACTGAAAGTCTATGAGACTATCATGGGTGCCTTTAGCATGAGAAAAAAAATCAGTTTGTTTAATGGACTTTCAATTAATATATTTTTGTCCCATCTGAAAGCAAGGCTTTTTCTATTAGATGTTTATGAGAGCTCTCAAAGTGGTGTTTTAGCCACAAATGTTCAATCATTGAAATGGTGATGTAGCTGACACCATTAGAAAATTAAATCACTTTCATTCAATCAAACACAGCCAGAGGACAGACATAGTTGCTGTTGTAAAATATTTAAATATTCAAATATTAAGTTTAGAATTTAGAATTAAAATATGAAGTTTAGAATAGATCTATCTGTCTGTTAGTGTCTGTCTGTCTATCTATTCATTTTGAAACATACATCAGTAATGTCAGTCTATCTGTCTGTCTGTCTGACTATCAGTCAGTCTGTCTGTTCAGTTTGAAATATCAGTAGTTGAAATTTGGAGGTCAGGAAGTGAGTCAGATGTCAGTTCAATAACCGCAATAACTGGCAGGTTCAGTGAGTTCATATAGTGAAAAAATTGTCAGAGTGATTCAAACCGATTGATTTCATGAGTTTATATATATATATATAAGTTTGATATTTGCTTGCAACTGATTTTAGGACCCATGTTGCATACCCAAATCATAAAATATCCAGATATACATTTTGTCATTGATAACTGACATCTCTGCTTTACCTCTTTTGAAAAGCACCAGCTGCTCCTGGTAAGCATGTTTGATGTGACCAGGCCCACGCGGAACCTGCACACTTCTCCACATTTTCTGTACTGGTTTTGGGGGAAAATCTGCATAATTTATTTAAATACGGTAAAATGTGTTAAACAGAGTTGAAAGTACTGTACTCTTTTTGGCAGCTAAAAACATACAGTTTGCCAAATTATTATATAAAACAACATTCAAGGGGCGGGGGGTGCGAATGATGGACGTTTTAAATCTGCAGGAGGCTACAGAGCAGATTTCATTTGGTGCAAATTCCGTGCAGGCCTATTAGCAAGTAGCTAGTTGTTGATAGTGAGCTGCTACTTAGGGAAAAGTTTTTATTTCATTTACATTTTATCTAGCCAGTGATGCCCTTATTTCCCTCAAATTGCACCTGAAAATGTTATGTTTTTCATTTTACATCTGTTTCTCTCTCACAGGTGTTCCAGGTAAGCCTGTGATAACAGGTTTTGAAGATGCTGTTCAGGAGGGCGGCAAGGTTACTTTCACGTGCACGAGTTCAGGCAGCAAACCTCCTGCTAAACTACACTGGTACCGCGATCAAGAGGAGATACAAGGTGAAAACACACACGCAGTCAGGACAGAAATCTGCTTTGAACTCAAACATTAGTTGTTCAAGAATTACAGTGTTTACTTCGTATTTGTGTGTGTGTAGGGCGTCCTGATGTAGTGGAGTCTAACCCTGACGAACCGACCTACACAGTAACCAGCGAGCTCACCCTCACTGTCACTAGGAACGATAACAACGCTCTGATTGCCTGTGCGGTGGATCACCCGTCCATCGCCAATGGAGACAAGAGGACAGAGCGGCCCCTCAGTGTCTTGTGTAAGACACATACAAATGCCAGAAAGCTTATTTCATGCAGCTGTTTTGTAGAGATATGACAATGTACTGCTGTGTGATTTTAGAAATGTCAACCAGTAGTGGTTCTGCTATAATGTTTATATATATCAAATAGGTGCTTCCAGCATAGACAACTTGTTTTTGGTGGGAGCATTTTATGTTTAATGCATATGTTGTGAATACTGTGTAATAGTAGGTTGCTTAAAGCTGGCATACAATATCACAGCATGCCGCCTTAATATAGAATACGTTTGATCAGTTCATGTACTTCCCGGAAATCAAACCTTGGTGTTGTTTGTGCCATCATCTTGTTTGAGCTTCAATAATGTGTTATAATATATCACTTGTTTTCGTTGGTTTTCAACACAAGTGCTAAGTGCTGAAGCAGCTTTTTTGGTGTTGATTGCAGACTTAATATTCAGTTGTTATGAATAATCTTCTCTTCTGGTTTGCATACATTAAGTTCCAAATAAAAGGACAAAAATAAAAAGAGCCTTACATTTTTAAAGTATTTAATTCACTGGGTTATTCAAAAATATACATTCAAATTTATATATACACTCACCCGGCACTTTAATAGGTACGACTTGCCAGTCCCGCTTTGGAGCACAGCTCTATTGGATTGAGATCTTGTGACTGTGGATGGGGTTTGAGTATAGTGAACTATTTGTCATGTTCAAGAAACCAGATGATTTGAGCTATGTGACATGGCGTGTTTTCCTGCTGGAAATAGCCATCATATGATGGGTGCACTGTGTTCATAAAGGAATGGACATGGTCAGCAACAATACTCAGGTAGACTGTGATGTTTAAACGATGCTCAATTGGTAGTAAGGGTCCCAAAGTGTGCCAAGAAAATATCCTCCACACCATTACACCACCACCAGCAGCCTGAACCATTGATACAAGGCAGGATGGATCCATATTTTTATGTTGTTTACACCCAATTCTGACCCTACCATCCAAATGCTGCAGCAGAAATCGAGACTCATCACACCAGGCAACCTTTTTTCCAGTCTTCTATTGTCCAGTTTTGGTGAGCCTGTGCGAATTGTAGCCTCAGTTTCCTGTTATTAGCTGACAGGAGCGGCACCCGGTGTGGTCTTCTGCTGCTGTAGCCCATAGGCTTCAAGGTTCGACATGTTGTGCATTCAGAGATGCTCTTCTGCATACCTTGGTTGTAACGAGTGGTTATTTGAGTTACTGTTGCCTTTCTATCAGTTCAACCAGTCTGGCCATTCTCCTCTGACATCTGGCATCAACAAGGCATTTTCGCCCACAGAACTGCCGCTCAATAGATATTTTCTCTTTTTCGGACCATTGTCTATAAACCCTAGAGATGGTTGTGTGTGAAAATCCCAGTAGATCAGCAGTTTCTGAAATCTGGCACCAACAGCCATGCCACGTTTAAAGTCACTTAAAACATCTCTCTTCCCCATTCTGATGTTCAGTTTGAGCTTTAGCAGATCATCTTGACCATGTCTACATTCATTGAGTTGCTGCTGTGTGACCATGTGGTGGGCTGAGTAGATGTTTGCGTTAACGAGCAGTTGAATAGGTGAAAAGTGGCCGGTGTGCGTGTGTGTGTGTGTATATATATATATATATATATATAAACTTGAATTTCCAGCACAGTTTCTGTGATTATAATATTAGCCATACTTTGATATAGGATTTTGGTCATACCGCCCACCTCTACTGTATAATACATAAACATGAAGATAACAGAAACAAAATGTGTGCCTGTGTGTCTCTCAGTTTCTCCAAGCGTGTCGATTCAGCCTGAGAGTGACCTGCCCAGAGAAGGAGAGAAGTTTTTCCTGCAGTGTGTGGGGAACGGAAATCCAGAGTAAGACACTCTCTCTCTCTCTCATTTCCATCCTTGACATTCATGTTTTATGTATGAAGCTGAAAATGGTCAGCCTATTGATCTCCTTTCTCTCTTTAACACACACACACACACACACAAACACACACATATGCAGGGTTTGGTTTGACAGTATCACCGTGATATTTGTGTTGATGTTACATGAGAAACCCTCTCCCCCAAACCAGGGAGAGGGATCAGAGACATCCTTGCATAGGTTTGTTTTAAAAACATACCCTCTATGATCTCAGTGAGTTCAGCAACTCCCTTACTGGAGCTAAAGGATGACGTTATTATTTTATTATTTATTATTATTTAGTCATTTATCAGACGCTTTATCCAAAGCGACTTACAAATGAGGACAACAGAAGCAATCAATTGTAGTATTAAAACAACTAAAAACAGATCCAAAACTAAAAGCTAAAACTTCATAAATACTACCTATACACATTTTAAAAATAAAGAGATTAAATAAAAATGACAAATGCATACAACAATTTCAAAACTTAACATTTAAATGAAAAACAAAAAATAAAGCTAAAAACAATTCAAAATATTAAAGAACAAAAGGTATAAGAGTATAATAATGATTCTAACATAACACTAAGCCAAACACCAAAAAAAAACTACATATGTGTATGTACAATCACACACACATACATATACATACACATTTATAAATTCAATATATATATTATTTCATTTCCATTTAGTTTGTTAGTTTAGTTTCCATTTCAGATATATTTATTACATTTTTAACTATTTAAGCCTGGTTATATCACAAATATTTCTCCCTGGAAATAGAAGTTAATGTAATTGAATATCACCCTCTACTGGTGCAGGATCACATTACAGCTCATTATTGCTCCTGACATCTATTAATACCACACCGAGAGCTATACAATCCTATTTAGACAACCCATAGTGTCTCTCTGTCACATTTTCTCATTTGCTTTTACGCTCTATCTCTTCCTTACTGGAATGGAAGCACAAATAGGGGGGGCTGTATATGAAGAAGATACCTGTGGTATCAGAGGCAGCATTTACTGGTTCTGTAATGATCTTTTGATTATTGTCTATAAAACATTTGGGGTCAGTAAGATTTTATTTTTATTTTAAAGAATTTAATGCTTTTATTCAGCAAGGATGCATTAAACTGATCAAAAGTGACAGTAAATACATTTAGTGTTACAAACGATTTCGATTTCAAATAAATGCTGTTCTTTTGAACTTTCTATTCATCAAACCATCCACAGAAATATTTATCAGCACAACTGTTTTCAACATTGATAATAAATAAGAAATGTCTCGAGCACCAAATCAGCATATTAGAATGTTTTCTGCATGATCTTGTGACACTGAAGACTGGAGTAATGATGCTGAAAATTTAGCTTTGGCCATCAAAGGAATAAATTACATTTCAAATATTTAAATAGAAAACAGTTATTTTAAATTGTAATGAATTCAATTGTAATGCTTTATGTCACTATCAAATATTAGCCAGTTTCTATGTGAAACGCTACCTCTCATATAACATCTCTTTACTTGTTTTGGTGTCTTACTGTATTGCAAGTAGACTGAGATATTAGTTTAGTCATAGCTACACCGCTCTATCAGCATCAATAAAAAATGATATTGTTTGGATTATTCACACGCTCAAATAATGATATGCCTGCGTCCTCACTGTAGTTCGCTAAATCCCTGTAACACACACAGACACGCTGATTTGGACACGGTATGAGCCCACAGAGAAAAGCCACAGTTACTTTGGCATATTGAGAGGATTTTAAAGGTGAAGTCTGTAATTTTTTGATGCTAAAATACCTTCTTTTATCGCAGCAGTAGGTAGACGTCCTCAGGAAGTGTGAACACTGTGACGCTATTAAAACATTTCTCTGTTCATTTGAGTACCAGACCAGCACGACACAGCAACAGTGGCTCAACCAATAGCAGGACGTTGGGGCGGGGCTAGCGGTTTGGTTAACCAGTGGAAAACAGGGAGATTGTTTAGGAAATCTGTTTGAACACAATCATTGGCCTGTCCCAAATCCCACCATGCTTGTAGTAGTCCACCCAGAAATTGACTTTCAATCCTGATTGTGTTAAATGATAGCAGCTGTTTTTGGACATTGATTTTTCTGTTTGATTCGTAAGACACTCCAGGTCAGGTGTGTCGCAGCACTGGTGGTTTGGCCACGTGGTTTTCTTTCCCATTTGATCAAGTCTGGTTCGTTTCACTTGACATGTTGACTGAGCTTCGCTGCGTTCGGGACGCTTTCCAGTGCATTCCTCTGTGCTCCTCAGTTCTTTTGATAGTGTGCCAAATTGCAAAACCCTTCAATCTGCTCAATTAAACGACTCTTTCTGCTTTGCTTTTGATGTGAAATTTCAAAACGTTGTATATGTGGTCCGTTTTGTAATGTAATCTCTCTCTCTCCCTCTCTCAGACCGACTGCGTTTGTGTGGCGGAGAAAAGACGGAGAGCTCCCCCCGATGGCAAAGGTGGATGATGCGTTCCTGCACTTCGAATCCCTCAACAAGTCGGATAATGGCGTTTATGAGTGCCAGGCTGATAACGGGATCGGAATGGGGGACGTAACACACACTCTTCTGGTACAAGGTAATTAACGAGAGACAAACGAGGAAGAGAGAGGAATAGAGAGAAAAGGTGTTTTCGTCATTGTTTATTTCTTCTGCTGATTTATGTTTACTTTCACGTCTCCTTTTTCTGAATTTTACTTTCCTTTCTTTTTGTTTCTCTTTTTGCATGACATGTTCTTTATTTCCTCTTCCATTTTCCCTCCTATCCATCATCCATCTCTCCATCCGTCATTTTCCTTCATCTTCCAAGACCAGGAAGATTCAGACCTCTTTATTCTCACCTCTACTCTCCCTTCATTCTCTGCTTTTTCCACATTTTCTCCTGAAACTTCAGTTTCACCATCTTCTGAAGACGAAACTCTTCTTCCACTCTCATCTTCATCGTCCTCCACTACCTTCCCCACATCCACTCTTACCTTTTCCTCGACTCTCCCTCCTTTCACTTCTGACGCACACCCTTCTGGTACAAGGTAATTAACGAGAGACAAACGAGGAGTGGAGAGAATGGGTGTTTTCGTCATTGTTTATTTCTTCTGCTGTTTTACGTTTACTTTCACATCTCTTTTTTCTGAATTTTACGTTCCTTTCTTTTTGTTTCTCTTGTTGCATGACGTGTTCTTTATTTCCTCTTCCATTTTCCTTCCCATCCATCATCCACCTCTCCATCCGTCATTTTCTGTTGTCGATCTTTTTTCTTCATTTCCTTCATCTTCCAAGACCAGGAAGATTCAGACCTCTTTATTCTCACCTCTACTCTCCCTTCATTCTCTGCTTTTTCCACATTTTCTCCTGAAACTTCAGTTTCACCATCTTCTGAAAACGAAACTCTTCTTCCACTCTCATCTTCCACTACCTTCCCCACATCCACTCTTACCTTTTCCTCGACTCTCCCTCCTTTCACTTCTGCTCCTTCCACTCTCCCTCCTTCTCCTGAAGTTCTCACCACCTCTCTTTCCAACGCTCTCTTCCCTGATCTCACTCTTCTGCCCTCCTCTGTTCCTGCCCGCACCCCTCCCTCACCCCCCTCCTCCTCCCCTGCCACTCCATCATCTGTTCCTCGGCTGAATGGAGTGCACACCTTTACAGGTAATCCATTGTGCACATACACATACCTAACCATGGTTTAACATGCCACTGCTGTGCTACTGATCTG